ATCCATGTTGTACCACCTTGTCTTTTCACATCAGAGCTTGAGACTGATATCTTTTTCAGTTTTCTGCCAATCACATGGGCATTAATCAATTTGAATTCCTTTTCTTTGATTGTGTAGATTTGCTTTTGCATTGTGTAATTTCAAGTCTCTCATTGCCTGGGTTCAGAAAAGGGAGTGGATGACCTGCAGGTCAACCCAGCCATGCTGAATGGACCTGAACACATCTAAAAGAGAAAAGAGCTAAGTGGATACAGAGAACAATTCTTAAAATAAATATCAGGCCCAGGCAGGGCTCATGCCTGTAATCCCAGTATACTAGGAGGCTGAAGACGAAAGTTCCCTTGAGCTTGGGAGTTGGAGACCAGCCTGAGCAGGAGGGAAACCTCGTCTCTACGAAAAATAGAAAAATTAGCCAGGCATGGTAGTGCATGCCTGTAGTCCCCCAACTACAGTGGAGACTGAGGCAGGTAGATCCTTTGAGCCCAGGAGTCTGAGATCACTGTGCTCTAGCTTGATACCATGGCACTCTAGCCTGGGGCAAAAAAACAAACAAAAAAAAAGATAAAAATCAGAGTTAAAATGCATCAAAAGCTGATCAACAGAGGGTTCTGTAAATGCATTCATGTTTCGGGAATGACTTATGTCATAATCATGGATAACCCCGAAGGAGATTTTGTTTGGTCCCTCTGTGCTTCCTTCAGTGCTAGTTAATGTTAAACCTACTGGAGTGTGCCTGAAATTACTGCAGTAATAACAAGATGGGCTAAGGAGCTTTTTGGTCATTAAAAACATGTATATGACATTTTTAAAACTCAGAGTTTATTGAAATACACAACCATTAGATATAAGATTATGCATTCTAAACATCAAATTAACTCCTAATTTAGCATACAATAAAGTAATCATAATTGCAAACTTATGATATCTTTATATTTTATAGAGTTAGAAAATTTTTAAGCTGTGTATATAGATTATAGGAATATCTACATCAATATTCTCAACATTGGCCAAATAAAGCAAAAATATTGTCAATGTGGAGCTGCCATGTGTCAGAGGAACAGTCAGTTTGTTTTTTATGTTTTTATTTTATTTTATTGTTAAGATAAAGTCTCACTCTGTTGTCTGGGCAAGAGTGCCATGGTGTCAGTCTAGCTCACAGTAACCTCAAACTCCTGGGCTCAAGCAATCCCCCTGCTTCAGCCTCCTGAGTATCTGGGACTACAAGTACCCACCATAATGCCCGGCTAGTTTTTCTATTTTTAGTAGAGACAGCATCTTGCTTTTGCTTAGGCTGGTCTGGAACATCTGACCTCAAGCAGTCTACCTCTTACTCACGCAGGTCTCCAACTCCTGAGCTCAAGAGATCCTCCTGCCTTGGCCTCCCAGAGTGCTGGGATCATAGGCATGAGCCACCAGGACCAGCCAGAATGGAAATTTGAAAGCATGTCATTAGGAACCCAACTATGTAGCACGGCTGTTGAATGTATTGATGTGTAAATTCACATTTTAAATAAATGATACTGTGATGTTAAAGACCAAAATTTAGGTACACAAAAGTTTCTGGAATACACAGCTCTCCCTACCTCACAGAGGGTTCTGAAAATACTTTAATCTTTGGGACTTAACAGGTTATAATCATCACAGATAATTCTTTGCTTTTGTCCTAAATTGGCCTTGAACATTATGCTTTTGGAAACCCTGGGTCATCTGATATTTAATCATAATCTTTTTATTATAAAAGTCATACAGTTCATTGCAGAAAGTTCTTCTAAATACAATAAAATAAAAATCATCCTCAGTGTCACTATCCAGAAATAATAATTGCCAGCAGTTAATGCCTGTATTAGTTTCCCAAGGCTGCCATAGCAAATTACTGCAACCTACAGCAGAAGTTCACTCTCTCATAGTTTAGAAAGCCAGGAGTTGGAGATAAAGGTGTCCTCAGGGCTGGCTTAGTCTGGGGCCCTGGGAGAATCTGCTCCACGCACCTCTTCTAGCTTCTGTTAGTTGCCACCAGTCCGTGGCTTATAGACGCGGGATTGCTCCCTGCCGCCCTCATCACGTGGCCTCATCTTCAAGCATCTTTCCGTGTCCTCTTCTTGTGAGGACATTGGATCTGCAACCCACCCTAATCCAGTATGACTTCACTTTAGCTAATTACATCTGCAAAGACCATGTTTCCAAATCAAGTCATATTCAGACGTTCTGGGCGAACAAGAATTTGGAGGACACTTATTCAACTCCCCATGCGCAGTGCATTTGTGTGATTATACAGAGTAACAAGGGGATCACATTTTATATATAGCTTAGTTCTCTTTTCAGTTAGGATATCATGAGCCTCTCCGTGTCTTTCAAAAATAGGATTTTTAATTTTTGTAGAGTGCTTCGTCATATGAATATCATATCATTTACATAGCCAACCTGCTTCTTCAAAAATTCAGATGGTTTCCATTCCTTTCTATTATAAATGGCTCTGATGAATATACATGTACCTAAATCTTTGGATTTATCTCCACTTACTTCCTCGGTATAAATTCTTTTCAGTTGAATTATTGGATTAAGAAGTGTGAACATTCTAAAGGCTCATGAAACATTTTGTCTAATTGAATCTCAGAGATTGTATCCATTTACTGTTGCTAGCAAGAGAGGGACACACTGTATCCTCCTTACACCGGCATTAAAAGGTTTCGAATGTTTGACCAGAGAATAGGCAAAGAAATGGCACTCTGCCTTTGTACTTATATTTGTATGTAAGGCTGCATCTTTTTCTATTTGTTTACTGGCCACTTACATATCCTTTTTGAGTTCTCAGTTTATGCCTTTTATCTATTAACAGTTTTTAAATTTTTTCATCTTTCTCCAACTATCGGTATTCATTGCTTACTGTTTCACTGATGAACACACTGTAAGCTCTTTCTAGAACTTGCTGTGAGCTAAGTAACTATGCCCTCCCTTCCCTGTTCCCATTCTTGGGCCACTTCTGGCCCTTGTACAGACATCCACAGTCACCTTTACTGTGTCCTAATCGTTGACATGTCTCTGTCTCCTACAACTTTATGCACTCTGGGGTAATGTCCGTGCCATACTTATATTTTTGTGTCTTCAGCACTAGCACAGACACTCAATAAATATTTGTTCAACTGAATTGTTAGGTAATGACCTGGAAATGTTCACAATATCTTGTTAAGATCAAAATAGCTAAATAAGGGCATATAAAAGAAGGATGGGCTCTAAAGGGAACTCGGAATGAAGTGAGCAGGATTTAGCCCATAACACTGTACTTCTACTTGAAATGTTTATAAGTAACTTCCCCCCCCCCCACCATGTCTCTCAGCTGTTTCTGAGATTACTGAGACTCTGAGCAACATTGTCTAGACAAAATGTTAGCCTTAATAAGCATAATAACAATCACAGGCATAGTCATGGAATGAAGGCATTAATGTTTCAAGATGGGAATGAGTTGCAATTGCCAATATTTTACAATTCCTATTGTTTCCATTGAAATAATTGACTGTACCTGTAATAAACGTAACACGAACGTATGCAGTTTGTAGATTTTGTAATACATTCCCATTCAACATTCAACTATGAAAAACAGTCTAACCTTATTGGAAGAATACTTTGAAAAGCCCTGGTAAAAAAATTTCTACCAAGCCTAGAAACAGGTTATAAAAATGGCATCAGAAAAGATATGAGAGAGAACTCTTAAAAATTGCATTAGCTGCAGGAAACTTTCCATAAACATCCTTATAAGCATTACTATGTGGTTGCATTTATTTTCACGTGGATATTAGAACAAGCTCTTGCCACAAACGGGCTCTGTGTTCTGATCCTTTTCCTGGCTCTGGTGTCCTTTGCTCCCACCCTTGCTTCCCCTTTCCTCTGTCCCATCAACATGCCACCCTCCCTGCAGGACCCAGTCCACCTGATGCTGAATGGTGGATGTCTCCTCAACAACAGGAGACCCTCCTGTCCTCTCTGGCTTCATCACACACTGTCTGGGACACCCTCATGGCTCTTAGTAATTCTTCCATGGCTTCTGGCTTTTTGTGGCCACGTTTATTTCCTCCTATAGACTGTGAACAGCATAAGCCTGGGAGTCATACCATTAGTGACAATGGCTGTCACAGATGACATTTGAAGGACATATTCTTTAACTACTTTGAGATTGAAATAATTTTCTAGGAATATTGGAGACTTGGCATTTCCGGACGTTCACCAGTCTGTCCCCTTTTAAAGTTCTAATCACACTATTTTATTGTAAAGCTCTGCCAAGACCCTCTCTGATGGGCCTCGTGTGAATGCCCTGTGCATGTGCGTGTGCGCGTGTGCTCACGCGTGTGTGTGCATGTGTGTGCCTGTGTGCCCGTGTGCACGCGTGTGTGTGCGTGTGTGCGCGCGCGTGCAGCGGGAATCAGCCTGGGTGCCTGGGCTCGGAGGGAGAAGATCCCTCGATTGGCCTCCAGGCTTCTTTCCTCCTCGTTCTTCTCTTTTGTGGAGGAGAGGAATGCAGCCTCCTTCCAGCGCGGAGGACCGAGGAGAGGTGAGGGCGCATTTGAGAGCGTGGGTGGGCATTTTACCAGACAAATCGAACCTGTACTTGGTGAACTAAAGGTGAATCAATTGAGGACAATTTTCACGTCGCAACCCAGACCGGGCCGGAGTCTGTGGGCGCCAGGTCGGAGTGGCCATCAGGGCTTGGGGACGCAACAGGATTTGGGAGAGAAGGGAGGGAAGCAAGGCCAGTCTGCCGGCTTTGTCTTGGATGCTGGTGGATTCCCCGGCCAGATTTCAAAGGCGATTGCGAAGGTGAAGCGACCCCAGCGCCTCCTTACGCTAATTGGGAGGGGAAGGGAGTGACTCGAATTACACCCGCGCGACCTTCCCTCCCGGTAGCTGCTAACTTGTAGCTTTAAAAGGAAGTGACATGAGCGGGGAGAGACGTCAGCTGAGGACCACTTTTTTCCTTCCCGAAGGGTCCACCCCATGGGTGGAGTCTGGCTTTCCCTGGCCTGTGTTGGCTGACTTAGAGCCCCTAGAAACCAGAGGCAATTTCTGAACGCGGCCGGCTCCATTTCAGTTTCCGATTGCTAAGTCCATGCGCCCAGGGCTGCCAGGAAGGAGGTAGGTGCTGCTCGCGCTCCCGGCCCCTTCCCGCTGGGTGTGGCCGCGTCCGCCCCGCTGCTCCGCGCCGCTCGGTGTGGCCGGCGGGTGGGCTCGGGCGGAGCGGGCGGCGGCAGCGGGGGTGGCCGGGTGGCCGGGGTGGCCGGAGCGCCCGGCGCGGGGACGCGTGGCGCTGGCGCGGCGAGCGCGGCTTTGTGCGCGGCGGGTGAGCGCCCCTTCCCGGGTGGCGGTTCCCAGCTGCTCTTTTTGGCGTAACTGTCCCCCTGCGCCCACCCCCTCCCAGGGTCAGAGCGTTTTCCCTGCCGTGGAGGAGCCGGGAGAGCGTCCCTGTCACATGCTGCTCTTTTGTGTCATGCAACATGTTCTCCGTCTCTGGCGTTTCTATGGCAACCACAAAAATACTACGGGCAAGGCAGCCCCGATGTGCACGGACGTATTTGTGGTTGGTTTCTGGGCTGCGGCCCGCGGGCCCGGCGCGGCTGGGCGGCTACCCCTCCTCACTTTCATTTTGGTTTTTCCCTATGGCAGGAGGGGAGGGGCAGGGGGTTGTCAAGGAAACGGGCATGTGCAATTACCGCTTTATTTACCTAATGTTCGGCCTCTGCATCTCTCCATCCTATCTAGGAATTTTAAAAGGGTATCCGTTCCGTTGACGCTTATGGAAGAATTAAGAATTCAGCGTCTGAATTCTTTTTTTCTAGGAAACCTAAACACTTCTCAAGATGTGATACTGACCCTGTGACCAGGCTGAGAGGAAGGAACACTTAATTCTTTATGTAGGGGGTGAGATCCTTGAAATAAAGTTTTAGAGCATGTTGGCGAATTCACACAGACATACACATTCCTGTCTGCCTATCTTTGCTAGAAGTCTCCATATTTAAAAGAGGGGTCTTGGCTCTAGCCTGGACTAGCTTAGCGTGATATCTGAGTTCAACAAGTTGAGTAACAAATGGTGACCAGCCAGGAGGGCGTTCAGTTTCCTTTCTGGGCACGGTCCTTAGATGGGGTGGCTCGCTGTTCACCCTCACTCAGGTGAGAGCTGACAGACCTTTTCTCCTTCAAAACTGTGGAAGATCAAGGGACTTGTGATTAAAGTCAGCCAACCTTAGTTGGAAAAGAAGTATCTCCAGAGAAGGCAGAAAAAAGGGATGTGTGTCTAGGTGGGCAGGGGAGAACTGGAGCAAACCAAGAGTCCTTTGTAAAAGCTACCAAATCTGGATGGTTCCCACGGGGAGAAACAAAATGATTTTTTTTTCAAACATTTAAAACTTTTCAAAATGATTTTTTTAAAAACGTATGAAATGAGAGAAAGTTATTGTCTACCTAGTAATAAGCAAAGTTAAATACGATTAGAATCAAATAACACATCTCTTCAAAAGACATAGTCCCAAGGGGCCTCTTGGCAGGTACCACTTAAATTAATGCTTTTGTTCAGTACATCTGGGAAAATGTTTGCTGACAGGCACCATTCTTTTAATGGGCATCCCAGATAACCAAATGAGCCTTTATAAAATCGATCGGTAGTAATCCCATCCTTCAGTCTTAAAATTATCTGTAATTTTGGTTTAGATTTGTGAAGGTCACTTAGCCTTCATGATACCTTCCGGCTATTAAAGCCAAAAACGTGACTTAGAAACCTCAGAATAACCCTGCCCAGTAGAAGCAGGAAGAAAAGGCGGTTTAATGAGGTTTGTTCCCTGAGCTCCGCATCTAGATGTGCTATCATCCATGTCTTATGAAAACTTATTACGAGGCAAGAGGGCCCAAGTATTTCAGATAAAATGGGGTTAAATAGCATGCACAAAACTAAACAGAGTTATAAAGAGAATGGTTTAAAGGGCATAAAACATAGAAAAATAGTAAAAAGAATGTGACACATTTTGAAAAGCACATTAGTACACACAGAGAAATGGTTGGATTGTAGGTTATTGATATTTGCCAAGAGTTCTGGAAGGCAGTCAAGCCAAGTTCCTGTTTTTCCAGCCCGAAAATAATCCACAAGGATGCCGATTTACCACGTGACCTTCCAAAGCAGATCGACAGTATGTAAGGGAGCATCTGTGGTGGGAACACTCCGTGGTGGACGCACTGTTGAGCTTCCAGACCTAGGAACTGCATAGGGAGTGGAATTCAAAGAGAAAATGGCAAAAATCCTTTGGAAGCATAGTCAAAACCAAACCAAACCACTTTCTGATATTCAGATCCTGAGTAGAGTTAAAATAATTAGCAGCCTTGACCTGGGGCAGGTAATTGGAACTATGAGCATAGAGTAAATGCAGAGTCTCATAGACAATCAAAGTAGAGGTAACACCTAGGAAGTCATGTCCAGAGCTTTGGTCAGCCCTCATTGTACTGGGATCCCACCATCCGCACCTGGGTGCTATGAAGCTAGTGAAGAAGGTAGCTGTTGTGAGCTGTGCTCTCAAGTTTAATTTCCACCAAACAGGGTAGCAGGACGTGTGATGAGCTGGAGAGGAGGTGAGAGCAGGAAAAAGGAATGTGGAAAGGGGTGTGGGTCGTCTGAAAGGAACACCGGTAGGAAAGACTTGTGATGACATTGAAGTTTCAGAGGGCAGGAGGCAGGCAGACAATGAGAGAAGGTGAGGGTGTCCCAGATAACAGAGATGGATGATAAGAAACGGAACATTGTTCAAGGCTCTTCTAAGCCGGGAGAAGTCAGTCGTCAGTATTGAACAGAGCAGGCAGACTTTGTACTGGCTGAATACGAATAAGAAGTAGGTATAGATGAAGGGCCAGAATTTTCTTATCGATCAAGATGAGAAAGACTGTTAAAAGAATAGAAGCCAGGAACAATGGCTTTCACCCCTAACCCTAGCACTCTGGGAAGCTGAGGCAAGTGGATTTCTTGAGCTCAGGAGTTTAAGACCAGCCTGGGCAAGAGCAAGACCCCCTTTCTACTAAAAATAGAAAAATTAGCTGGGCATGATGGTGGGCACCTGTAGCCCCAGCTACTCGGGAGGCTGAGGCAGGAGGACCATTTGAACCCAGGAGGGTGAGACTGCTGTGAGATAGGGTAAAGCTATGGCACTTTAGCCTGGGCGATAGAGTGAGAACTCTCTGTCTCCAAAAAAAAAAGAATAGAAAACAGAATCCTTCTCCATCTCTTAATTTTTTAGTTGAAGCTCAAAAACTAAGGACCAGACTTAAAACAAGTATGAACTGGGAGAACCCCAAGCTTATCCTGATCATTCCTACCATTACCATTGGTTTGAATTGCAGGATGTTCAGATGAGGCTTTGCAAACATAATACATTTTGTGTGATCTGCTGTGTTTTGAAAGGGAGGTCTGATTAGTATGGGAAGAAGTTGAATTCACATTTCTGAATGGTGTTTGACATCTAAATACCTGGAGAGACATAAGTGATCAAGCCAGGCTTAATAACCTTCTAACATTATCTAGAGTCCAGGTAACTCTGATTCATCAGCCTTTGTCTAAGACAAAGAATCCTTTTGGAAAGTAGGTGCTGTAGCCCCTGAAATCTGGCTTCATGTATGGATTGGAGAAGCTCTGCAGGTGCTGCCAAGGCTGTATCAGAAAGCAGAAAGAGGAGGCTTAAAGCATCAACTGCTTCCGTCAACAAACACTTATGTGTATCTTTTTTATGTCTGGTGCTATGGCTACAACTGTGAGCCAAACAAGTTGCAATTTAATTATACATTTCAAATACCTGTAGGGTTCTCCTGGAGGTCCTGTGATTGGCTGATTTCCATTTTCTCCCAATGACTGAATGAGAGGAAATATCTTAAAATAGAAGCAATTTTGTTGAACAATATCAGGGAACAATCCATTTACCCTCTTCCAAGACGCCTTCTTGCTTCACAAACGTTCCCTTCCTGTTGTGTGTCTTTATTTTGTCCCTTGAATTTGTTCCTTCCTTTGACCCTGACTGCAACCTTTCAGCCATTCTTCATTCATTCATACACGCACACATTCATCTGTCACCCGTCTGTCCATTTATTATTTATTCAAAAATAACTGTGCTATTGTGTCTCAACACTGTATATCATGAATACAGCAATAAATAGGAAAGCAGTTCTTCCCTAAAGAAGCTGTGGAACTAACTGAGAGACAGGGGTGGAAAGAGGCCCTGAGACCAGAGAGGTTCACTTTGGGACAAGGCGTTATTGGCTAATGACACTGGATGCATTTTTCACTCAACAGTGACGGGCTGGCAGGGATGAAGTTGGTGGTTAGCTGCTGACTACTGTCTACTGTATAGCTTTTTAGTATCTATTCCATGTTGGTTGAGCATAAGGGTGGTAAATATTTGTTAATTAACTAATGGGAAGAAGTGGGATTTCTGACCCTGGAAACAGAGGAATAGAAGCCTTGTATCCTCTTTCGGAAATAACCAGCTGCCTGAGACAAACTCTCATGGTTCCCTCTCATAGAGGGTTACTTGTAGCTACCCCAAGATGGACTCCTTTATTTTATTTATTTATTTTGAGACACAGTCTCACTTTCTTGCCCTTGGGTAGAATGCCATGGTGTCATGGCTCACAGCAACCTCTAACTCTTGGGCGCAAGCAATTCTCTTGCCTCAACCTCACTAGTATCTGGGACTACAGGTGCCTACCACAATGCCTGGCTAGTTTTAGAGACAGGGTCTCACTCTGCCTCAGGCTGGTCTCAAACTGGTGAGCTCAGGCAATCCACCTACCTTGGCCTCCCAGAGTGCTAGGATTACAGACATGCGCCACCATGCCCGGCCCTAGGATAGGCTCCTTTAAGAAGGAAAATCTGCCTGCATCAAATTGTATGCCTCACATATCACTCTCATGTCCCTTGGAGATTATTTCCCATGACACATTGCAAGTCTGTGTTTTGTTCTGACAAAAAGAAGTGGGTCTCAGTCCCTCACAGCTTTCAGCCTTATGTAGGAATAGCCGTTCCCCAGAAACCGGCGGAGCCTGTACCCAGGCTAACCCTAACACAGGTGCGCACCTCTCTCTTTCTCTTCGTGTGTCCTGACATCGTG